CTCCTATTGAGACCTATTCGCCACATCTCGAATCCACCGGCTGGCCTTACGCTGTCGAAGCTAGAATTGACCCGGCAATTCATGAATTAGCGCCTCCTAGAACCCAATTTTGTGATTTATGGGTGGCACCACAGCGCGAGCACGGCTATACCCAAATCACTTCACCGCAAGAGGGAAGGAAACTCCGTCGGTACAGGAAGCCTGGGCCAGATTAAACGTCAAAGGTACAACGATTTGGGTGAGAATATCCACAGCACAATTCCTTATCCTTGTGACTTTATGCAGTGGGCTCAGAGGGAAAAGGTCGTGATGCCGGTCGATGGTAAGTTTCTCACGCCGAATACTATCATCAGGCGTTTGATTTCGCGGTGCGTCGGTTGCGCCCGGCCTCAGAGATGGCGACATGGCCGAGTGGTCATCAGTAACGTCCACACTGGAATGTGAGTCCGGGAGTCCGCGTGGTTCCACAGGATCTTGGCTAAGGGAGTCGTTGACATACCGACCGTCGAAAATACAAGGAGACATTCTAGGCTGGCCGCAGCGGCGGACACCATCGAGGCGGCCAAGTGCCTGGAGGACGGTGCTTCCGACGCTGGCATTGACGAGAATGGGGATGAGGCGCCACGCATTGAGAGGCTCGGAGGCGTGCTCTCGGCAAAGGGCCCGACATTCAGAGACGCGTGCAAAACTCTTCATATTGATCCGAAGACCAGGCATGTACCTCGTTCTGGTGTACGAGTCCGAGCCGCAGATGTGCGGTCGAGTGTTCGGTTCGAAGCGAATCTACAAAAGTAATTCCGTCAACTGGGTGGCGGCGAAACTGCCCTAGCCCGGGCTCCTGAAGGAGCAACAAAACGCAATTTTTACATTCCAATAACGGCCGTTTTAGGGAAATGGTGCACAAAGCTTCTTTTAGAGACCAGGAGAAAGTGGCCCGTGGTATTTCAGTGTACTTGGAACTCCGACGGGGAGTTTGCCCTTGGTGCCTCCCGAGGAGGCTTTGCTACTCAAAGCGGCCTAGGGTCCTGGCTGGCGGTCCTAGACCGAACGCGCTATGGGATAATAAGGTCCCCTTTGTTGATGCAGAGAAACTGGTCGCAGACATGGTCGCCTTCAATACGAGCAACTAGTCAGCCCAGGCGCTTCAATCGCGCAGGGAACGAACGAAAACGGGGCAAGAAATTGTACCAACAGAAGAAAACTGCGACTGGGCAATTCCGCCATACCATGCACCAAAACCTTAGCAGGTGACGAAGTCCACGTTCCTTACATCGCGCGTTCCAGAAGTTGGGGTTTCGATTTTGATACCAATGGGGCACGGGGAACAGGGCGGGGAACAGGGTGAGGAACAGGACGAGGGACCGTACGAGGGACGGGTCGAGGTACTGGTTGAGCATGACCCAGTGACTTGAAACAGAGAGGGATAAGCAAGGGTTTGATTGGAAAGTTGAATTCGCATTCAAGAGTGGTATCCGCCGCTGGAGTCCCGAGGATCGGTTGAAATGCTCAGTGGCATCTGACGCAGATCTTCACACGATTATGGAAATTTTGCAGAAGTGACCACGCTCGTTGCATCTTGTAGGCTCACAGAGCATTCCTGCGTTGGAATATCTGCGACCAATGGACCGCTCAAATTCCTAAGGACTTCAGACTACAGAATGATAAGATTTGGAACATCCCGCTGATGAGGCCGACGAACCATCTGATGGTTCGCAAGTCTTTGGACAAGCGACAGCTTTTACCTCGACTGCCAGT